ACGAACATTACGAATTGGACGACGAGGGGGACATGAAAGACACGGATACGACAGGGGAACGCCGAATGAAACGCACGACCGCCGTCTGTCGAGCATCTATAATGGCAATTTCTTGCGGGGCTTTAATCAAGACGCCGAACGATCAGCGGCAAAAATGACCGGCTGGATAATTGTGACCGTTGTTTTTGTCGCCCGTCGCGGCAACCGACGATCGGAGCACGTGAGAACCGCGTTCCTGCCGCGGAGGGACGCGGAACAGTGTCGTATTAATAATACGTAATAAAGCTTAAGTGGATCGTACGCTGGAATTAGATGGCGTGTGTCACGCTAAATGTTAAACTGAATATGGACACCGTTCGCAAAGGATCGACAGAAATGGGTTTTAAAGAGCATTTCATCAGCGCGTTACGACCGGAGATTTCTCCCTACTTGATACTTTGACCCTTTCGGACGGCCGGAAATCTGTCCGCCTAGATAGGGTCATCGTTCTACCGATGGTGTGTCGTGACCGGTGTTTCCACGAAATTGAAATTAGATCGATTGCACTCACTCCCAGCCCTACTTTGGCTCAATTTTTCAAGCATAAAAACATATCAAACATTCTATGGATAGTTGAAAACCGCGTGAGAACCAAGCCGGGCGCTAAACAATAACAGTAGCGTTTAAAGTGAAATTTGTAAGAGTGCTCCGAGTCATTGAATCGCGCGGTTTTCCCCGGCACTCGACGATCAGAGGCGCAATAAAATGTCGAGGGACGAGAGAGAACTTCCATCCAGCCCCTTCCGGTTCTACGGTCGCGAGTGCTCGGTAGGAACACACCCTCGCGCCGGAGGCGGTTAAAAGAGGAAAACTAGGCAGATCGGTCGAGGGTGACCGGAAGAGGGAGGAAGAAGGCGAGAGAACCGCGGAGCGCGAGAACGTTGAAGGAAGAAACAGACGAAAGACGGGGGAGTGAGAGTAACCGAAACAGAAGCAGGGACCGAGCGAGGGTGGCAGAGGGAGGAGAAAACAATAAGCTAAGGGAGGATGCGTGTACGCGAGACGGAGTGATCAAGAAAGAATAACGGAAAACAAGAGAGGGAAGGTGAGTACGTGTGTCGCGGAGAAGTGGAAACAAGACAGAGACGGACAAGGATGAAACGACGGTGGAGGTGTACACGCTCGCGAGGGGCGTTAAGGCATCAAATCGATAAATTCCTCCGGCGAAGAAGAGGGGCCACGGATACGTGCTGATGTTCGCGAAAAGGTCCTTCCTCGCAAACACTCCGAGTGTCACTCCAGCAAGGTGACAGAAAAAAAGCGCCGGCTCTCTTATAGTTGCACTTTATGCAGTTTCGAACCCCTCGAGGAAAGGGCGCCACTCGAAGGGAGGATCGGCCATCGATCCGTCTAGGAGCGAATTCAGTGAACGCTGGCCGACGTTCTCGTCACGGCAGAATGCCTTGCTGTCGGCTAATTATCCCCTCGTCGATCGTTTAACGCATCGATTCCTTCTTCCGGAAGAGCGGAGAACGAACAAAACGTTACAGCGATATCGGTCGAGTGTAACAGAATCGTTGCGGGGAACTCGTAATTCTCAAATTCAATGCCGTTTCAGGGACAATGTGACATCCCGTCGTGGCATCGGGGGCGGTTTAACGAAGGAACAGGACGACACTGATCTCTCGAAAATTTGAATCGTCCGCCTTTTCATCCGGCGGTTAACCTCGTTACGTTTCAGACGCTGTGAAATTACTGACCTAGTATTTCGAGAAGAAAATATTCGCTCCATTCCGCGTTGCGAGCGCATACCGAGCCCCAGGAATTCTGGGAAATTTATAAATCCCAAATTACGAGAATTCCGCGCACTCTACCCGAGATCGATTCTTCGGTTACTAAAGATATTCGAAATTTAATTGTTCCCCGCGTTACTTTCACTCTCGAGCTTAACCCATTTGCATCCAAGCGCGGAATATTCCGCGAGCCGCGACTGTCTACTATCACCAAGCGCGGAATATTCCGCTGTTTACTATCGTCAGTTGAACGTCGCTGATGTTTCGATGCGGAAGCTTAAGTAGAGCGATGATGCAAATGGGTTAATAGAGGGTTAAAGAGTACTTGTTTCCATACGAGAAATTACGTAAACGATCAAAATGAATTTCTGTATCTCGGAGATTTCGAGTTGGATCGCGGTACCCAAGAGACATCAAAGAGAGACGTTATCGAGGTGAACGAACGACGTTAAAAGTTTCGATTCGCGGGAGCCCAGAAGGGCCCGGGGCGAGGTTTCCAGAGGAACAGTAACCCTTCCGTGGCCCCCGGGGGCCGTGATTAAAATTATTGCCCGACCCAAAGTCAACACGTCTGGCAAACAAAGGATAAACACATTCGCGGGCAGTGGTACACGAGAAGTGGCGCATCCAGTTCGCGATTAGCATCGCAAAATATTTCTCGTCCCTCCCTGGCGAGCATCGCCCGCGTCGTTTGTAGCGCGATGTTCGGGCCGCGTTTTATATTGCTTTCCTGTGATCTCTTGTCGAGGATGAGGACGAGGCGGAGGCAGAGGAGCAGGACGGAGGAGGGAGCAAAAGGCCGAGCGCGACACGCGGCACCGAGACGAGCAAGAGAGCAGAGAGCCCATAGGAGGATGAGTAAAAAGCTTTTGGTGGAAAGTTGCCGCGGGCGCGCTTTGTAGTTATGGACAAGTTGCACGGCTGGTGACGAGCAAAAGAGGCAATTTGTTAGAAGAGGAACGCGTTTGTCGCGCGCGATACGTTTAGGATTCGCCCTATACACGCGATCCTTTTCCTTTTTCTCTGCCCGTATCTGTCCTTTTCCCGTTCGTTTCGCCTCATCTGCCTTTGCAAAGCGACGGGGGGAAAAACGCTTCTTGCCTTCGTCGGTACTTTCTAACCCCATCGCCTTCCCCGCCGCCCCTCTTGTCTCGTTCCTGTGTTTCTCCTTCTCTTCGTAGGTTTTGCTCGCGACCGACAATCGGCGTTAAAGTGCGTGAAGGCACTCGAAGCACGCGCGCCCGCTTGCGAGTACAGAAGGCACGCACCACGACCCTCTCGAAAACAAACGGCGGGTTCTCGTCCCGGCACGGCGTGACTTAATTAATGGAAGCGCGAGAAGTGTCGACAGAGTCGTCTTTGTCGAGAAGTTCGCGGGACTGGGTCAATAAAGACGCGAGACCGCGGACTGTTTCGAATAATTGCGTCTCCTGCATCGATCGCTCGAAACGATCGACGATCGAATATCGAATATCGAGGGTCGGAATGAGAGAAATACGTAACGAATGTTTGCTGGAATGGTGGAATTCTAATTTTTATTCAACGCGTGAACTCTCGTTGAAATGGCATCGAAAAGGTTGTTCCGTGAAATTCGGAGTTTCCGGTTTGGAAACTGAAACGCCAATGCATGCACTCAAACGACGCTTTTTAGACGCCACGATGACGACGTTGCTAAACTATGTTAACTCTAGCAGGATGACTAAGTTGTTAGAGTAAATGCTTTTTACACTGAAACGAATTGAACATAGAACTCACTGTCTTTATCTACGTTTATCACCAATGGAATATGCTAATTTTTCAGATGAATCATTTTTATTGCAATAATACTCTTAACTTTTTCAAACACAGTAAACAATCTAAATTGAATTTCGTGCAAAGTGTGTGAATCTGTAAATAAAACTGATATCGTAACATGCAAAACATTGTTATATTATATTCCTTAATTACCGATACATCCTACAATCAATGTACTCATAAAGATTAGGTACTCTAATGTTATTTCTACATAATTCCAAACGAGGTTTATCAATGACCCTTGAAAATAAATAGCTACCCGCCGAATAAACTCTTTTATCTGCCCCCACAAATAGAAAATAACACGAGCCGATAAGTCCTGCAAAGAAGCTTCGTGCCGCTTCCAGACACGCGTCGACCAACATGTTTCGTCGAATATTTTGTAGGTTTAGTTAAATCCACATTTACACCAGATGGAAACAAACACGACCGATTGAAACTTTAAATATAAAATTTTAGTAATTGACAGTGCTAAATCGTTGCGTGTCTGTATCAACGCATCCTGGTGCATCGTTACACCGTATGCGCACGAGGTGAATCATGGTCATGGTGAAATCATGAATAATCACACAACAATAACGTGCAGACACATACGGGTGCATTATTCTGTGTAGACATTCAGAGCAAGCCTGATTATGCTGAGAAAATTACACTTCGCGCGTTTATTTTCACCTAGAAATCGTATGAAATGCGTTACACGAAAATTCCCGATTATTAAGCACCGTACACAAACAAGAGGATGCGCGATCTCGTCTAAACACGGTTTCAGTTTTCATACAACACGCACCGCAGATCCAATTACCGGGTAAAGACGCGATCGCCGCGTAAAATATATCACGCAATTGAAAATAAGATACAATATATTAATTACAATTTTCTCGGTGAGAAGAAATTTTTTTTTCAAATGGAGCACAAGTTACTTACGCATTCCTTCGTTTAATTAATATCAAAACGATTCGTCCTATTAACCGTACGAACAGCAGACACGCATCCACGAGAACCTCTCACAAATTGTCGGATTAATTGCAAAAATGTAACGATCAATCGAGCGTGGGTAATTTAACGCAGGCACGGTACCGGTACGTGTAATGACTCGTCTGATACAGTTTATGTCTAAACACAGTTACCTGTGCTCGATTAATAACGGTTAACGCGGAAGCCCGTGGAAACGGAATGAAAGAAAGCAATTGAAAACGGCAGTCAATACGGCACGAACACTTTTTCATTCGAACACAATCGTTTCACGAGCAATTCGAAAAGAACGTGACATATAACGCTTATCGCACGACGAATTGACAGAGAGGGAGTTCGTTTCTCGGTCGATCGGTATAAACAATCGCGTCTCGAATCGGTGTTATCGCGTCAAACGTGAAATAGAATCCAGTAACGACGAAAGAAGCGAGAAAAAGCAAAGTCTGCTACGGTGACACCCACCTTGCCAGTGGACCACTCCTCTTCGCTCGTTGACCCAAAATCTTCTCGACCACGGTGACATTTCCGCTTCTCGCTGCCTCTAGCAGCTCCTGGTCCTTCCCCATGGTCCATTTACACCGTAATCAAAACCTGGTGTTCACCTGCACACTTGTCAATTTCTGTTTTTACTACGATTACTCGCGTTTCATTGATCCAGCGTGGCCATCTTGTGCCGACTGCGTCGCCACCTCGCGGTCACTTCGCGAACACAGGAGCGCGCGATAGAGAAGAGAATATCGTAGCCCGTAATTATTGGCCGCTTAGAAGAGAGACAGAACGACGCACCCGAGGCTCGATGTGTACCGCGCTCGGGCATGTAGTCGACTATCAAGTGCCAGCTGTTGCGCCGTACTGATTTTCTGTAACTTCACGCCACCTCGGTTCAGCAGCAATTTAATCGAATAAGTGTGTCACGCGGCTCGTAGCGTCGATCGACATGAGTCATAATACTATCAGAGAGATACTGGTCTTTCTATTACTTGCCGGTAGTAGTTGGGCCATGTTAAAAATACCGAATATCGAAGAGCTTACGGGTGAGTACCTAACCTCAAACTCCGATTACCTTTTATCTTAATTTTCGTATCCTAAACCGATACCCTTCATGATTCAACGCTCGCTTTTAACATTGATCCTTGCGTAACGTACGAATTGGAAAATTCGAAATTCTATTTCGCGCCAATTCCAATATTATTGTTTTCTTTGTATTATACGACATAACCTTTCGTATCCTTGATATTCAGCGCTGGACGAAAACATAACATGATTTGAAAAATACAAATTTTATAATGTATTATGTTTAGTGGAAAATTTTTAAATTCAGCGATACACAAATTCTGTTGGAATTGTTTTTGTAATTACATACGAGATAACCATAACCTCTTACGTTCTTGATATACATTACTGGATGGAACTATTAACACAGGATATTTTAATTTATTGTTTAAGAAGAACTAGTAACAAATAAAGTGATATAGAAATAATAACAAAAGTTAAATAAGGATTTTGAATATTTGTTCGCTAGTACCCTTCCCTTAAAACCTTGTTTTAATCTTTTAAGCATCGAGTCAAGCACTTTTTTGATTAACCAAAGTTAAATACTTATTCATTCATAAATGTGTGTTCTTTATTTCAGTTTTCTTCTATGTGCATTGCTTCCCGATTCCTCTGTTTAGTTTAATTCAATTATACTTTATTGAATCCGTGTTCACTATTCCTGTTCGCAATTCATTAAATGTGTATTTACTAAGAACTATAACTCAGAAAGAAAGCATTTGTTAACTTGTGTTTGTATAATGTATTTGTATGAATATGACTAATACGATATAATGTCTTTGTCCAGTGAATCGAGTTTCTTCTTATCAGATGTAAGTCGTAGGAATATATTTCTTGTTTATTATGTGTCATTTATTATACGTATAATAATACGAATTAATGTATAAGTAGAAAAAAATAGTATGCAACAAATATGTAAATGTGAAGTAAAGTTATAATAAATACAGTCTTACTCGACAAAATTTATTATATATATATTTTATAAATGTATCTATAATATGTTCTGTTTTTTTTTTAAATCCACATTGTGCAGATAGAGAACACAATATTTCTTAAATTTGTTACATAATTTTTGAGATTCACTTTAATGACCCATTACAAAAAATTAATTTCGTAAAAAATGTAAAAATAATCTATAATACATTTTACAGATGGCAGTGTATTATATAGTGTTGTCCATGATAAATTTATCAAACGAGTAGTTATTGCCCCCAATAGTAAAGTAACTGTAAACATAACAAATGTTTCTTCCGACGTTTCATTTTATATTGCTCAAATTCACACGTATCAATATAATGTTACGCTATCATACACTAAAGACTATCTTAATGATGTCTCGAATAACAGCGTCTTTGGATCGAACATCGGCCTCTTCGTTAGACCAGGTTCAAATATAACGACACAACTATATTTGAAAAATGATAACGTTCACAATGTCAACGCTATATTTGTTGCTATTCCTTACAATATGAATGGTGAGTACTTTTTATATTTAGCTTATACAAACACATCGATTTGTCCCATATCTTGCTATTATTATACTAACAATATTAAACTTTTTACGAGATTTTAAATTCTACGTTAATAAAAACACTAAAAGTTATAAGAATTCTTACTATATTTGTTTAGACAATGTATTGTACAATCAAAATTCGATCAATTTGAAAGCATATTTAGCCGAAACGATTTAAATATTCGATTTCGATTACAAAATATCTAGATATACTACACCTCGCGATAGAAACTGCTGATTTAGATATTCAAACAAATTTTTCACCCGCTTCGCAGTCGGGATCAGTGTCCGATATACAGAGTGATCCAATAAATATCGCCAATTTAATTTCTTTATGAAGAAATTAGTTTGCTTGAAATAATCGAAATACAAACTGATATTGACCCATGACATTTAATAATCTTGTGATGATGTTACAGTATTATATAATTGTGAAATTTAATTATGAATATTTATTTACAATTTTTAAAATAATTTGCAGTATTTAAAATAACTTGAACAATAGATTTTTTTAAAATAAATATTGCACGATACAGACGGGATCGTCGTATGGTGGTGAAAATTTGTTTCAGACGTCAAAACTTGCAAAGATTAATTTCGATATCCCAATCACTATTTCTAGTATGTACGATAGTTTTAATAAATATACCTACAATAATTTCAAAAATAAACCAGTAATTATTTCTATAAATGTAACTACATATGCGTTTATAAATATTTTGAAATTAGAAAACGTGCAATAACAACTTGATTTGATTTATTAATTTATGAAAAAGTTCTCAACATTACCGTGATGGACGTTACAAGGTACAGTATAGGTTAACAGTAAGTACAAATAAGTATTGTTATCGTAGAGTCAGATAAAATTAATGACCATGTAGTTTGACAATCTTGAGATCGTAAAATGGTTTGAGCACTTCGTTATAATTGCCCTGAACGATAGGAGTGAGGTGCTAAGAATTCTTATTCGTAAAACTTGTACCTACTGACCAAGCCGATTTTTCACGTCGTCTCATCTATATAGTTGCACAAACACCACTTAGTTGTTTAAGGTTACCGATAAGTTCCCTCCAACAGTCTTCATGCAAATTCTTCAACATGCTCTCTGTTTCTCACACAACGAGACAAGTTGTCATAACGTAGATAAAGGAGACGCTCCTAGCATGATTCACAGTTGGCGAAGTGGTTTTGAGGGACCAATTGAATTTAATTCGACTATGGCAAGTTGACGTCGATTAACCAACTTTCTTTGTTCCCCTATTGTATAATATACCTCTTTCGAGATCCAATAAAAATTTATATTAAAATCAAGAATGCCTCATCCACAAGCTAACCCTTATCGGTCGATGGTAATCCCGTCTGTAACGTGCAATCATTCCTAATACTTGTTTCATCGAACGTTGTAATTTTCTCGATAAGCTGGCAATAATTATTGCACCGCCGTTTGTATCGTCGATCATTTTCGTTTAACGTAGAAAACATCGATTGGATTCAATAATAAATTCTGTATCGTAAAGAACTGTCAGCAATCTCGTCCAACAGCTCATTGTTCTCTTCGTAGCACCCATACCGGGTGGATGCAACATGGAATTCAATACCGAAATAGCGCCGTACCCGAATGTAACCCTACAGAACACGATAGTGGTAGTCGACGTGCAACCACCCTCGACGCCTGTTAACAAGAATCAACGGCCAGATTGTCACCATAATCCGGTGGAGGTCGAATTCTATCGGATGTTCTTAACCGAGCGAGACTTCAGTATTGATTCTTATTTCATAGCTATCGTAAATATGTTGACTGTAGCTGATATCGAGCAAAATGGTTGGAAGGTACATCAATCTCCTCTCTCACGTAACGTAGCAAACACACTTTTAACGTTCGAAAGTGTCAAAATTCTTAATTTAAAATTGGAATGCAATCGAAACACCGTTTGAGAACAGATGATTAAATGATTGATCGGGGCAATTAAGAATTTCAACACTTTTAAATAATTTAACGAATCTTTGTATCATCGAAGTCGTTGGAATCGTACATACAATGTTTTGGTAATACATACGTGGTCCTGTTCGATCTTGTTTCGATAAACTAAGATGACGACCGATTTCATTCGACTGTTTGCAAACGGTATTTGGTATCTTATGTACGATCTTATCGTTCAGATACTATCACGTAACGTTTTATGAGTCATTTCAGTTACTTGTCACAGCTTTACAGTACTCTTGAAACGATAACAGCACGTTACTCTAATTGAGAAATGACAGAGATAAATCTGATGTATAGGTTTACCGAATTGGAACATCCGACAGCCTTTGTCCACGGAACATTTATTGATAATATTAGAATAATTCGTTAGGAGATCGTAGAAAATTTGCAGTAAGTCCGAGTAATGTGTCGAAAGGATAAAATCAATGAAAAGACATTTAGAAGATTACACGTTGACGCAGTTAATAATTCTTCTAGTTTCTGGAACACAAAACTCGCTACGTAGTCCGGTCGAATTAGATTTTTTATCGAATAAAATTTACAATAAAAATTTCATTGCGTGAGATTCTCAAAACTGTACCTCGAAATTAAGGTCGAAAAGGACATACTCGTATTGCACTGATTCGAACGACTCTTCTTTACAATAATGCATTTTTACCCAAATCTTACACAGGTTGTTCAATTAATTAGCGAAAAGAAATATCTTTAAAATCAAATTGCAATTCTAAGGCCAGCTGTACTGCTTAGGCACGTCGAGACGTTTTACTCCTACGGTCAGCAATACTGCTATTACACTATATTAATTTATGAACGACATAATTATCTTTCAATAATACAAATTTAAGGTATGGAAATGAATCGTATAATCTAACAAATTTGCAAGTTCATAGTCGTCGAGTAACTCAGAAATCTAAAATTTCAATTGTCAAATATCTCACGAGTTGAATTCTATGTATCGTTTCAACACATTTTCCGTTGTATTACGTTTTCTTCTTATGAAACGAAAAGAAATAAGTTCACAATTGCAATGCAACGAAAAATGTTTTCTGGTAGGTAGTAGATTCCGCAGTATTAACACCAATGAGACGATTATTCGGTGCATACATCGGAACCGGATCGGTTTACGTCGCAGTGGCCAGATACGGGAAGGATTCCGCAGCTTACGTACCTGGTTTGTCATACGCCTGCAGCCCCTTGCTCGATCCAGATTCCTGTGACATATTATGTACGTACAACTTCATCAAATTTTATCGCTATTATCGTCATCGTGAAAATCAGATCGCTGAGGTGTCCTATATTTTTTTGCTTTTTAGATGAAATTTTCCCACGATTTGTCTGCGCTGGTTGCTTTTTCCTGGGACTGTTCTCGTTCAACACACACTACGATAGCGTTTACAATAAACTCATACCTACATTCTTCACTGGAACCGTGTTCGGTTACATGGTAGCAGAGAGCTTCATAGACGAGGCCAACATATCGGGTAAGTCTTTCCCAATCTGTACTAATTCGGGTCGTACCAAACAAATTATAATTTCATAAATTGTAAATGCAATCGGTGTATTACCAGATCTACTTGGTTATTAGTCTATGACAGTATATTAACAACAGGAAATAAATAACCTTGAAAATTGTGACCATGCGAAAGCGTCGCGCGCTACAAAGGCAAAACTGATTTATTTCATATTTTTAATCGTTAACTCGAGTTTTGCAAGGCAGTTTTGGAATTTTTTATACAATTATCCGAAGAAATATTCTGTACAACCCTAGAATGCCTTTGCCCAGTAAATTCAGAGTAAATAAAGCGAAGTAAATATTCGATCGGAACACACCCTGTTCGTTATATGCCCAAGATAATTTTATTGCACGAACGTGTCATTTTGTTTATTTCAGCTATCATCTCTTTCGCTCTACTAATGGGCCTCTGCGACATAATTTTTTGGTCGTTTTTCATAACAACTCAATCATCCATGAACGCGGTGATGAGAAGCATCAACCTTGGATTCTTCGTTATGTGTGTCATCTACATGTGCGTGCCAGGTAAATGCGCTCTGATCTCGACCATTAATCAAACGACCTTTTCCAAATACACCGATCGGCGTATCAGAATTTCGTTCAGTGTCGATCTCCCTGGTCCGTCGATCCATACACCGGCGGTCTCGAAGGCAAACGCGTGAAGCGAGAATAAACGTATCCGGAAATAAAGTATTCCGTACGCGCGGCCAAAGAAAGAGAGAGCTCACGAGGGGTTGTAGCAAATTATAGGAAAATAATGAAAGCCGGCTTAAAAGCAGAGAGAAGTAAAGAAAAGAGAACGATAGAGCGAGAGAGATCGCTGCCCCGAACCGAAGTTAGTTCGAGTTTGGCGAAGGGATGAAATACAGTCAGAGTCCCCCCCGTAGCTTTTATCAATGTTGCCCGCTCATGTGGAAACTACGGCTGCCGAATCCCCCATGCAACAGCAGCGGGCATTCGAGTTGCCTCCTACCTTTCACACCATAACGCGGCAACCACCCTTGTACGGACGCGCACGCGCGCGATCGCGCGACCGAAAAATCGTCGCGTGCAGACAACCAACCCCTCAACTCCCACGAACCGATCTGACCAGCTTGGAAGATTCACATTTACCTAATTGTGACCCCGTATTTATTTTGCGCTGGGTCCTATTTAGATTACACGGTACGTGCATGCGTAACTGCACGCTGTATCGGACCGATCTACCCTGTCGACAGATGATCGGCCTGCTCGCCCCCTGCTGGCTCTCTCTTTCCTCCACGGTACAGTTTAATCGCGTTTTCTTAGTTCATTCGGGGGTGCATCAGAATGATTAGTCGAAACTTCGGCTACGTACGCTCTTATTTTAACGATACCTCCGACCATTTTTTGTAAATCTATTTTTACGAGCGATCCCTGAAAATTTCTAGCGAATCCCCGTGAACGCCAACAAAATGCTTAGCTTGGTTTTCATTTTCTTTTCCAGATAAGTCTGGAATAGGAGCGAATAATTGGTTCTTCGCGGCTATGAGCTTATTACTGTTTCTTATCCTAACTTTCGTCGGGCTCGCATCGGGTAGTGTTACGCCTGTAATTACTCAGACAATATTTTCGACGTACATGATAATCTTGCCGCTAGACTATTTAATTGGCTCATCCCTGAAATACAGCGTCATAAATGTCATAAGAAGAGTCACCGTTGCAGACTATGAAATGGCTGCTGTTCAACCTCCGGTTCAAGGAAAGGGTACGTTCGCTTTCATCGTTACTGTACAGAGTGTTCCACGCGATTTAAACAAATTCGATATTTCTTCTCGTTATACTCCATATAAAAAGCATAGTTGCACCAATTTGAATTTGTTGTATCCACGTTTAAAAATAAGCCACAGCTTGTACCAGTTTTTAGAATCATCCTGTGTATTATTATAGCAACGTTACATTTTCAGATATTACTTTGATCGTATTATGGGTATGTTTGGCACTGTATCGTACGCTGAGAAATTTTAGATTTTATATGGGGCCATTCGACCATTCAAACGAGTTCACTCCTTTAGAGTGATAGTTATTGCGAAAAGAAGCATAAATGTTTTGATAAAAGTTTTAAATAATAGTTATTTTGAATTTACTTAATATAAGTTGCTCAGGTAAAAACGATACTACATCATACGTATACAACATTTATAATTGAAGGAGTAATGTTCACAGAATCGATCGATTTTGAACGATCGTATCATAAAAGAACATGTATCTCATTATATCTAAGAAAGAACTAAAAACAAGCTTTATTGTACTGTGCATTTTATTGAATGTGCTTCGTTCAAATAAAGACTAAACAGTGAACTAGATTTTAAGAACAACAGAAGTGGTCTAGACTGATATATATATATATATATATATTGTTATACCAGTATAATATAAGGTGTTCACTGAATTTATGTAATAAAAATTATGTTCTAGATATTGTTGATGAATTGTTTTCTTCCCTTATTCCTCGTATGAAAAAAAAAATCATAGAATTCACTCGCGTACCGTCTATGATTTTCCTATTCACGGTAGATTAAACATTTCTATAAAAAAAGTATCTTGTAAAAAGATACATTAAGTGAGTTAACAATGAGCAACGTTGCAATTTAACAAATTTGCATGTATAATTGGGTAAAGGATGGAGGGATGTAATTTGTCAAAAACTGTAACAAGGGACTTGCGTTGTCATTAAAATGAAATAACATTTATTGAATCGAGACAGTGACACCTAACAGTGGTTCTATATCCTACTACTTACAATCTTAAAGGTAATCACAGCAACAATATTATCTCCATTATTCACAACACTTACGTAGATTACTGTCGCAATAATATATTATTCTCGTTAATAAATTTGTTAATACTCATACACTGTATTCGTTATTAGCAATTATTATTACAGATAATAAGAAAACTTGCGTGACCACTTCCGCGTCACAGGTCGATCTACGAAGATTCACGGACGCGAGTGATCGTTTCGATGCAACCTAGTCCGTTTACAACTATATCGTTGGTATAGTCGTGTAACCAAATACTGTCGAGGTTCAATACTGCTAACGAAATGGAGATTATTAACGTTCTTTTCTTTTCTTTTCGTTTGAATACACAGCCTGTTGAAACGAAAGAAAAAGGACAATATGGTACCGGCGTAAAAAAGTCCAACATCTCGAAGCCATTCCGTTCAGTAAACGTCAACGCGATTTTTTAAACTCCTTATCATCGGTAACTTCGCTTTTCTTTTTATAACAAACGATCTCGATCGTTGGGCGTCTCCGTTCTCTCTCGACGAAACGGGCAAAGACATTCGACGAACGATCCGATCGATTTCTTTTAAAAAATGGTGGCGAGCAACGCGAGAGGAGCCATCTTGCACGCTAAGCTAGTCCAATATGGCAGTCAACTCAGTCGATGTTACAAACACTTTGCACCGACTCTCTCGTTTCGTGCGCCAAACATGCTCGGAACATTTCGCGCAGGCTGTAGAAAATCGTTTTAAAGTAACTCGAAGGTACGGAATACGTATTTTTTACAAGCGGAACAGTAGGAACTTAATATCGAAGCGGGTCTCGAGCCTTTTGTTTCTCGATTAAGGGTGTCAACGAGGAAGTGGTACATGCGGATCCGAACAAAGTGTACGTTCTCGAAACGCTCGAGAAACCAGTGTGCCCCGCGAGAGATTCGCTCCCTCTGTTGCGGTTGGTTTGTTTTCGTTTTCTTCCAAAAATATAAATTTACTAATGTACAATCCCCGTTCACCGTGTCTGCGTGTGTATGTATGTATGGGTATCGATGCGTGGTTTCATCGCGTAAAAAACGTTCGAACGAATTTGTACACCTAGTATCACGAGACGCTGTGTTTCTTTCCATGCAACAATATTGCAAACGCTTCGCGAAACGTCGTTCGTTCGTGCCTTGTCTCGATGCAATTACACGTGATTATGCTATTGACTGCTGATAACTCGTTATAGTTCGGTCTCGTCTACAATCGATTTCACGCGACGTTCACGACGTATTCGCGGTAGGGATCGATCGGGAGGATTCGTCCCCTATCCGCGAACCGCTGAAATCGCGAAATCTAATAAACAAGTGGCTCTGCTTGTAACACTCATTATACGTATGCATGGATGCTCGTGACGATTTATTCGTGGAGGGAAACGAATGTGGTCAAAGAAGAGTCCTGGAACGGTCGAAGTGTCGAGAAGATAAAGACAGAGATAGAGAGAGAAAAGGGGACTGAGTATTATCGGAGTCACTGATTTAACACCGTTTCTCCGCATCAGGTACGAACCAGCGACGAAATTTTATCGACTAGCGAGCGCGAGTCGCGAGTAAACGAATAAAAGGGAGAAAGACAGGGAGCGAATAGGCTCGTTGTTCTAAAGAGCATCAAACGAGACTGCGTAGTTCTAAGAAAGATTGGCAATGGAGACCGAAAAATGAAAGATGGAAGGTTGTATTACAAAGACTGATAAATATGCTATTATTTGTAGCGTGGTGCAATGTAAAGAAAGTGTAATTGTTATACTTTTTGATGCAGACAGTTTGAATAACTATAAATACTGCGTATGAAGATTTCGAATGATTTCTCGCGACAACGTTTGCCCGTCTTTCCGTCTCCTCGGACGGTCAACTCCCTTTTCCCCTTCCTTTTACCGCAAACGCGATTAATTACAAATTTTATATCGCGTAAAAAACCTTGTCTGAGGTAGTGCATATATATCAAATTACCCTGTACCGTAATTTTCCCATTTTCGCGATGCTCCGTGCGATACTACCGCCACCGGAAATTCACTTTTTCACGGAAACTCGTCTTCCGCCTTCGTTCGATTGGCCTCGATTCACCCCGCAGCAAAATTGTTTAAAGATCCCATGTTTCGGGGATGAATCGACTACGAGACTCCGAAGGATAGTTCATTAGAAGTAAAATAAAGGATACTCGTAGCGATCAGTCTAACATTAGTATAATTTACTCATTGCAATGGTAAGAATAACACAAGATAGACAACAGCTATATCGCTAAACAATCGTTTTATATTTATTTTGCACAATAATTTTGAGGTTGCGGTAACACTTACAATAATAATAAATATTTACATTAACGGGAAACCAATCATGTTGTTCGTTCGGAACCGGTTAACGACCTATAAAAATTACCCCTTTTCCAGTTGTACCGACAGTTACCAAACACACTGTACATCGATCTTTTGCTTTTAAATAAATTAGTTCACGTATTCGCGTAAAAAATTCTGATTCTTTTGGAAAGGAACTTAAGATCGAGGCCAGATCCAACGAAGTTATCAGAGTCCTTTCATCGCGTTTCAACATCGTACAATACTGTCGTCCTCGCGACGCGACGTTCTCGTTCCGAAATCCGTTCCAAGACCTTGCTGGCGAAGCGTGAAACGTACATTACCGTACGCTCGTGCTGCAGTGACTCCGGGGAAACGATGAGCGAATAAATGTAGGCTCAGGTCGCGTCAATAACACCGTACCGGCGATAGAACAGCCCCACCCGCTGTCTTTTCGCCGGCAGCGGAACCCCATCGTTCGCTTCCGGTCCAAGGGAGAACACCGAATATAGGGGCAAAGAGTTCTTGCGTGTACGATCTTCTATGAAGTGGTACGATCGAACGGCACCGGAATTACCGTCCCCCTTACCTACACAGTATATACAACAGCGTGTCGACGATTCTCTCTAATGTACATTACAGGCTAAGAGTAGTAACAAATGCTATTTTACAATCGACTTTATACAGAAGATCGCCGGACCGTGCCTCGGATCGCGAGAAACGAGGCAGTCCTCGAATTCGAGACAACGACACCGCGTTACCAGCGAAACGCGTATCGTTTCGATCTGAAACGAACGCCTGCAAAGGGTTACGCTCGGCTCGAACGATTCCTTTGCAACCACGGACGCGAAGAAGGCTGACTTCGATATCTTTTCAATTTAAATTTAACGTATTTGGGTTCGGACAGCCTCCGAGAGACCTCCAACGACGAACTGAACTCGTGAGTGTAGATCGTCGCGTTAGTAAAAATAATCAGTAGTCAGGGTCGACGCGTGGTCAGACACGATCAGCGAATCAGCCGACAATCGCGAGAGATCGTTGCAAATATCGTCACTGGCCAATCCGGTGATATATAGAATCGTTGTAACCGAGCGTAACACAAAGTGACATTCTTCTCGGTTATGTTTTCTCGATATCCTTATCTTCGACGTCTTTCTGGTTTCCGTTCTTCGCGATCGTTTTGCGACGTCCCTCTGCTCGTACGGCGATCGTTTAACGACGATCCCGGTTACCAGCTACAGATTGGATTGTCTTAATCTAGGACGATCGTTTCCGCGCTTATCTCGGGAATTAATGTACAACGCGCGATCGGACGCGAGCCCGGAATCGTTGCTCGTCGCGTCCTGAACGAATGATCGGCTCGACGCTTCGGGAGAAACGGTTCTCTCGTCGAGGTAACGCGGCTGATTCTAAAGCTACGGTTCCCCTGAACCCTTCGTAAAGTCTGCGAGAAAGAGGGTCGACTTTTAACGGGATTATGAGCGGAGTCCGTTCGAACGCATCCTGCGAGAGCGCAGCGAACGCGAATCGATTCTGTTCGTTCGACGATCCACCGCGACCGGGACGCTTCGACAAATTGCCGACCCGAGGAGACGATAACGGATTAAGATTATTGCTAACAATTTGCCAAAACTTTTCTTGCCGTTCGAACAGAAAAGTCATTTTTCTACGGAATCGGCAAGACAGGGTTGTCGATGGTGTCCAGGGTTGTTGAATTTTAGAAAATATATAGAAATTATGTTTTAATTTGGTAGGATCGTTTGTGCACAATTTGATATTGGTATTTCGATTCGTGCTTGTCGAGATAAAATTGCATTGAACGTAACGGATTAAAAAAGAAAATATTGCAAGCAATATATTGACGAACTTGTCGAGAATGTAACGGCGAAACAAATGTTTGTACTGACGGAAACTCTCCGAGGCAAATGTTCGATCGCGGCCACTTTTCTCCGAGAAAAGTACGGTGAAGTGTTTGGTCTGTAAGTGGAGCGTTGTCAGCCGACGCCATATCTGCGAGCAAGCGTGATGGCCGGCCTCCGAAAAAAGCCACCCTCCCGAGGCAGCTATCAATCCCAGCGTTCCCTCCCTTACGAAGGCAGCCTGGCTAGAGCCACCCCAAAGTCTCGCGAGAATATTTGCAGCGGGAGCCCGCCCCCGTGTCCTCGAATCCCTCCGAAATTTCCACGCGATTCGCGGCTGTTGCGGAGAGAAATATTCGTACACGGTCCCCGACATACTGGATGTTCCGAATTCTCCGTAGAAACGC